TTTTCGCATGGTTAGTGCTGGGCCACTAACTCAAAGATGGGTGGTTCACACCCACCCAGAGGTGCCTGTGGAAAACAGGCCTAGTGATCTGCTTCAGGTCATAGCCCTGAAAGCCCTGTGGGGCAGTTCTGCTCTGCACAGGTGGGGCCCATGAGTCAGGACTGGTGGCAACTAACAACACTAACAATGTGTATATATGTGCTTGCTGTTTTGGAACAGATGTTGTGCTGGTGAGGAAGAGACTGGGAGAAGGCCTTCATGGAGATGTGCTTGGGTCTCAGCTGTAGCTTTTGGCTCAGTGTGTATAACTCCTCAAGAGGAAAATTTTCTTCCAGGTGAAGATAACTTTTAAAGATACATGTATTTTACATGCTGATATTTTTGTTGTTCATGCCTTGTCTTTTTAGTTATTAAAGACGTGTCTAAAGAATGATTTCCTTTGTTCATTATTTACAACAATGAAGAAAAACATCATAGTTTAAACCATAAATTACACCCAGAACAGAATTTGAAGGGAAACTTACTCTTTATTGACAAATGTATAGCTTAACTTTACTATATAGTCTTTTGAGTCCAAGGTATTTCAAATAACCTGTGGTCGCTGAGGAAGGCATAAATTGTAGTAAGCATCCTTGTTCCAAAAGTCTGGGCCCTTCCATCCACACCAGCCCTAGATTTAGAAGAGAAGGAAAAGCTTTAATACAGTACAGGATTACATTATTTAAAGAGTAACATGAGGTTCAGTTAGGAGAATCCTGGAACCAAATGCTAGATGACTTTATAATTTAGAGATAGGAATTCCAAGTAAGCAATGGGAAAACATATGATAGGTTTTAAAACTTCTGAATTCTATATTTAGTTATGGAAATCACAAAGGGAAAAATGACTCAATTTTACTTTCCGTTCTCATGCCATTACTAATTCTTTTTCCTTAATAAATTGCTTTCCAATAAAAAATACTATTATAGATGTATGGCTAGGTGCCCTCAAGTTGGTTCCGACTCATAGAGACCCTATGCACAGAAGACTGGCCAATCCTGTTCCACCCTCACAGCTGCCCATTGTTGCAGCCACTGCGTCAGTCCATCTTGTCAAGGGCCTTTTTAAAAATCATTTTATTGGGGCTCGTACAATTCTTATTACAATGCATCCATCCATCCATTGTGTCAAGCACATATGTACATTTGTTGTCATCATTCTCAAAACGTTTGCCTTCTACTTGATCCCTTAATATCGGCTCCTCTTCCCGCCTCCCTCAACCCTTCATAATTCATAAATTATTATTCTGTCATGTTACACTGTTTGATGTCCTCCCGCCCTCTTCTCTACTGTCCATCCCCCAGGGAGAAGGCTATACGTAGATTCTTGTAATCGGTTCCCCCTTTCCACCCCACATTCCCTCCACCCTCCAGGCATTGCCACTCTCACCATTGGTCCTGAAGGAGTCATCTGTCCTGGATTCCCTGTGTTTCCAGTTGCTATCTGTAACAATCTACATCCTCTGGTCTAGCCAGATTTGTAAGGTAGAATTGGGATCATGATAGCGGAGGTGGGGAGGAAGCAATGGAGAACTAGAGGAAAGTTGTATGTTTAATCTTTGATACCCTGCACCCTGACTGGCTCATCTCCCCACCACCCTTCAGTAAGGGGGTGTCCAGTTGCCTACCGATGGGCTTTGAGTCTCCACTCTGCACTCACCCTCATTGACAATATGATTTTTTCTTCTTTGATGCTTGATACCTGATCCCTTCGACAGCTCGTAGTCGCACAGGCTGGTGTGCTTCTTCCATGTGGGGCTTTGTTGCTTCTGAGCTAGATGGCCGCTTGTTTACCTTCAAGCCTTTAAGACCCCAGTCACTATATCTTTGGATAGCCAGGCACGATCAGCTTTCTTCACATTTACTTATGCACACATTTTTCTTCAGCAATTGTGTTGGGAAAGTGTGCATCATGGAATGTCAATTTAATAGAACATGTTCTTGCATTGAGTAAGTACTTGAGTGGAAGCCCTTCCTCTTTTTTGTGGCCCCTTTTTCAAGCATGATGTCCTCCAGGGACTAGTCTTTCCTAACAATTCTCCAAAATATGTAAGATGAGGCCTCTCCATGCTTGCTTTAAAGGAGTATACCAGCTATACTACTTCCAAGACATTGGTGTTTCTTTTGGCCATCCATGGCACTTTCAATATTCTTTACCATCACCATCAATTCTTCTACAGTCCTCCTTATTTAATGTCCAACTTTCATATGCATATGAGGCAAGTGAAAATACTATGGCTTAGATCAAGACCATTTAATCCTCACAGTAACTCCTTTTGTTTTCAATACTTTAAGGAGGACTTGTGGAGCATATTTATCCAATACAAGGTGCCATTCAATCTCTTGATTGCTGCTTCCAAGAACACTGATTGTGGATCCAAGCAAGATGAAATATTTTCATTTATCAGTATGATACCTGCTGGTCCAATTGTGAGGATTTCGGTCTTCCTGATGTTGAGTTGTAATCCATACTGAAGGCTGCAATCCTTGACTTCTAACAACAAGTGCTTCAAGTCCTCACTTTCATCAAGAAAAGTTATGTCATCTGTATATCGTAGGCTGTTAATAAGATTCCCTTGTTCTATTCACACACTGCCTCGATCCATGTGGCAATAAGATTTGATGTCAACTTGCACTTCTGTGAAAGGGTAGGGGTGCAGTTCAACCTATCCTCTTTGGAGATGTGACCTTTTAATAAACGTTTCTTTTAACAAGGAACCTCTCTCTCTGCCTCTGCCCCTTTGCTCCCCCACTCCCTACCTTGCTGGAACTTGGTGTCTACCTCTGGGGTGGATCTATGTGGGCTGTTGACCCTGGGGGCCAACCTGGAAGCTATTAGCACCTTAACCATTGCTCCCACTGGCTTTGAATCCACCCAACTCTGCATCCAATAGCCTGTGATCTTCCTGGATCACCCTTCATATTTCTGCATCATCAGCCTTCTGCTACATCAGCGATTCTCAACCTGTGGGTCGTGACCCCTGGGGGGGTCGAATGACCCTTTCACAGGGGTGACCTAAGACCATCGGAAAACATTTCTGATGGTCTTAAGAACCAAGACGTTGGCTTTTTGTGCATACTGTTGCAAAATGTAGAATGTAGTTTACTGTTGTCATATTAAGAATGTTACCCATGCTACACAATGCTTTAAGACAAAAATTCATTTACTTGTCATTAGAAATAAATTTCATAATATATAATTACATAGTTTTTGTGATTAATCACTACGGTTTTAATTATGTTCAATTTATAACAATGAAAATACTTCTTATCAGATATTTACATTAAGATTCATAACTAGCAAAATTACAGTTATGACGTAGCAATGAAAATAATGTTATGGTTGGGGTCACACAACATGAGGTATGAAAGGGTCGCAGCATGAGGAAGGTTGAGAACCACTGTGCCACATGAATGTGAAGAAAGCTCAGAGTCGCATTGGACCCATGGTCTTGATTTGGACTGGCCTGGGATGCCTTGATACTGTGTTTCTCTCTCTCTCCCTCTCTCTCTCTCTCTCTCTCTCTCTCTCTCTCTCTCACAC